ATTTCTTTTAGTATACGTATATTCTTGTAAAGAGTTAAAATCATCTAAGTGTGTCATAATTTCTAAGCTGTTTTCATCTATTATTAGCTAGTGTGAGAAGTCAGTTTCTTTGCTATCTTCACCCATTCAGAAGTGCGGGGACTGTGAATTTCCACTTGCAGAATACAAATTCCAGATAACAATTCTTAAATTGTCTATTTTAGAATTTTATTTCGATTTTAAAGTAATAATTGGGATCCAGGAAGCATTTGATTAGAACACCTTTTGGATTTTCAGACATGCTTATACAAAATGCTTTATTTTCCTATACATAAAAAATATTCCTGGAATAGGTTCTCACAATTTTTTTTCTAGCTGAGAACTAAAACAAAACTCCAAGATTAGCATAAAACTAACTCTGGAGTTAATCAGGACCATGCTGTTAGTCAAATAGAAGCTAGAGTACTCTCTGTCACATAATAATGTACTGCATGTATGAAGGGAAGGGGGAAGATAACTGGAAACATGATTCTGATAACACAAATTTTGTGCATAAAAAGTATGGAAATTCCTGACTGCTTAAAGCTTCAGGAGTAAACTGCAGTGTATGAACACCTAGTGTGTTCTGTTAAAATTGCAGTACACCTAGTGTGTCAGAATTGCAGTGCATAGTTGTTAAAATACAATATTCCTTGTGACAACCAAAATATGTTGTGGCTGGTGCCAATATTTTTGTTAATGCAATGTTCAATGTCTCACTACAGTCTGATCAGAATTTTTAGTGTAATATGCCAGGCCTAAAGCCATTTTATAGCTATTGGCCTAATTGTGTAACTTTTTCTTTCAAAATGTTTTATTATAATACTGTCATTTCTTTCACTTAATATATGTCAATTGTCATAATAAAGAATTTAAATAATTTGATGTATTTAGCATGTGTTTGCAAACTTAGTTTATTTTAAATTTTGTATCATACAGAAAGCTAAGAATTTTCTATAAGATTCATAAAAGTTATGGGCCGGGGATTTAGCTCAGTGGCACAGCACCTGCCTGGCAAGCACAAGGTCCTGAGTTCAAACCCCAGTAGTCAAAAAAGCAAAACAAAAAAACAAAAAAAAACTTTGGTAGTAAATTCTTGCAAAGAATGTTTGGATATAGGCTGAGCTGCATACCATTCAGCGGATGTATAATATCAACACATTCAAAAGGTTTGGACCAGATGACTAGTAGACCTTCCAATGCTGAATATGATTCTCATCAACAAATTCTTAACTTGATGGATTTTCTCCTTACTCTTGGAATACAGTAAAATTCAATCTGTACTCAATTTTTTATGAACTAGTAAAATACACTACTTGCAGTTCTAATTAAAAATATTAACTGAGAGCTTTTCAATCAGAATGTCACTTAATGGACTAAAAGGTGGTCTACACCTCCAGGAGAATGGTGAATTATGGTGATTCTCAATAATTTATCTCAAAGTTTCACTTAACAGTCAAATGGAGGTGCCATGTTATATTGGAAGCCAAAGATAACAGGATCATAGCAGCCTCAAAAGCAGAGAGTCTTCTGGAGCTGCCATGACTCCTTGAACATGGTTGTGAACGTATACAGCTCATAAATTATGAGACCAGACTATGAACCAAGTTCTTTTAAAAAGTGAGAATTGGTATAAGTAAATGGTGATCATTTAGCAGAGCTGGAATTAGAAATAGTAAAAATATTATAATGAAATTAAATGTTGGGGGCTGGGGATGTAGCTCAGTGGCACTATGCCTGCCTGGCGAGTGCAAGGTCCTGAGTTCAATTTCTGGTACTGGGGAAAAAAATGTTTGGATCCTCTAGTTGAGATGAATGCTTGTTGTATCATTTTAATTTTTGATTCTGCATTAGCTTTTTAAGATCATAAAATGTCTAAATGAAAATCGAAGACAACACTTTTTTTGTTCTTTCAACACTGGGGATTGAACCAAGGCCCTTTGCACTGAGTTACAGCTGCAGGCCATTTTTATTTTGAGGTAGGGTCCCTCCAGATCTCTAAATTGCCCTTGCTGAACTCAAACGTCTTCCTGCCTCACCCTCCCAGAGTGCTGGGATTATAGCATGTGCCATCATACTCAGCTTGAAAAGAAACACCCTTAAGAGATGTTGTGATATATGTAACATTAGTTTAGCACATAAAGTCATTTCCCCATTGGAACTTTAGGGAACCTACTAGTTGATAGTATAGGTCACTGGTAACTTTCTTATCATTCCTCTTGCCCATTTCAGAGCCACTTTATCCATGTTTCAAACATCCATCCTCCCAGCCTGTGTCCAAGAAGAAGGTATGTCCTCTTTTTACAGCAACTTGTCTGCCTGTACCCTCGATCTGGTAGGTTTCCTATTATCTCCTTTGCATCTTTCAGGTCTCACTTGTCCCTGTCTCTGATCTCTTTTATATTCACTCCTTTCTTTACAAAGTTATCCCCTCAAGGAAAAAAAGTTTGATACTGTCATTGGTTAAGTCTCTCCCAATGATTTATTAACTACCAATATTTAAGCATACTACAATAATGTTAAATTGTATTCAGAAATGCTCACTGAAATGTCACAAATCCTGAGGGCATGCTCCAGGAAATTAGCATTCTTCTTGGCAACAATAATTGAACTCCATCATTAGGGACAACTGTTAAAGAAACCTGAAACTCACACCAGTGGAGTTATTCCTTCCCATCTCCCTGCATTTGTTTCATGTTTTTCTGTTGAATGTCAATTTGTCTGCTCTCTGGCATTATTACTTCTTAGTGAGATGTGACTGCAACAATTAAACAGCTTTTACTTTATGTTGGCTCTATATTTGGAACCCAAAAGAGAAAGGACTTGATTAATAGAACCTTATTAGAATTGTGCTAATAACAATTCTAACCATTCTAATAATGATAAGAATAGATTTATTGGACACTTAATTTTTACCATTATCAAAATTCAGGACTCTTTATAAGCCTTTGACAACTAGTTCAGGAGGTGAGGACGCTGGACTTGGAATAAAAAGGCAGGGATCTGATTTCTAGGTACTTGCAACCTTCAGCAAATCATTTAATTTCTCTGATCTTCAATTTTATGTGTAAAGTGGGTATGTAACAGCCATTGCGCACTTTTTAAAAAGTACTGCCTGAAAACCTAGGTTAAATTGATATGAAATTATTAGATAGGTTTGAGCCAATTTTTTCCGTGTAGCTGAAGGATTCCTTTTCTGAGTAAAGCCAGCCACAGCAAATTGCCCACAAATAAATGTCCTAGGGGAAGCCTCAAACTGGTCATTTCTCAATTTAGGTTTGTAAACTACTTTCAGTACCTTTTTCTCCTGAATTCTCCTCCTTGGAGAAGTGCTATAGCTACTTAATCTCTTAAACTGGAATTTTGCTATGGAATTTTTGAACCTCTTTTCATCTACCCTGATCTTCAAGACCATCTTCCTCTTAAACTATCTCTAAATTATAAGGGTTTTAGATAGCTCTAGAATCTTTCCCCAATCTTTCTGTTCTCAACTGCAACTTTCTCACCTACGTTGGGCTTCTTAATCTCCCCGTCTCACTACCAACAATCTAATCCGGTTTAAAAACCTTAACACTCCTCTAAACTGTTGTGAAAATACAAATTAAACTACCCCACATGTCCTTCATCCAGCCTCAAACAGTCCTACTGCATGTATCTTACAATTAATCTTAATAAACAAGAAAAGTGGGACTTAAATTCCACTAGATCTCTCACGACTAAATTCTGGCTTTAATGCCTCACATCTGTAAAGTTAGATCAGTAACAGAAAAGTTCTGCTTATATTTGAAATAGAGAAGAAGTGGGGTGTAGTGGTGCATGCCAATAATCTTAGCACTTGGGAGGCTCACGCAGGTGGATCTCACTTAGAAAAGAACTTGGTAAAGTGTCTCGTTTGTGGGACATAACACTCGGTTAACTTTAGCTACTCCCACTGCTATTTTGTAAATCTTTGAATCGAATCTCCTTGCAGTCCTGCGGGCTCTCCGCCCAGTGTTACCTCGTGCTTTTGCCTGCCTGACGAGTGGGTAGAGGTGGCTGGGGCCATACATTGATATCTGGTTCGCGTGTGAACCTCATGTGAGCTAGCTGGGTGAGGCGGGAGGTGGGAAAAAAAAA